GTAACTTGCCGAGCATTCTCAGGAAATGCAGCCTCTTCTGTGCCTTCTTCATTAGCACGTTGGCATTTATAGTCCATGAGAGATCCTCTGAGATGTAAGTACCCAGAAATTTAAAATTACCAACTCTTTCCACTTCCTCACCGTTTATGTACAGTGGTAAATGTACATTTCTCTTCCTCCTAAAATCAATTATGAGTTCTTTAGTTTTTTTGATGTTAAGTGTGAGATGATTTTCTTTACACCAAAGTATCAACCCGTGTACTTCCTTTCTATAAGCAGACTCATGATGTAAGATGCCTTGGATCCTTTTATGGAGAAAGGCTGGGTAAAAATATTTTAAACAAATAAAGGTCAGTTACATTTCCTATTCAATATTCCCATATTTTGGTGTGGGTGAAGTCAAGTCCAAAACTAGATACCTGTACTCAGTTTCCTACACATTCAACTTGGCCAGATTGCAGCCTTGTCCAGATCTGCCTTTAACCAACGGAGGCTGATTGCCCATCTCCGCCCCTCAGAATATTGCTGCATACAGTAGTAGTTTCCCAGATTGACTACTGCAATTCTGTCTACGTAGGGCTTTCCTTGATGTTGACCTGGAAACTACAAGAGGTCCGGAATGTGGCAGCCAGACTGGTGGCTGGTGTGAGCAAATTTGATCATACCCCAGTTCTGGTCAGTCTCCACTGGTTACCTGTTGAGTTTCAGATCAGGTTCAAGTTCTGATGCTTATGTATAAAGCCCCTCACAGTTTAGAACGATGTTGTCTGTCAGAACATATCTCCTCAATGTCATCAGAGCTTCCCAGGCCAAGCTCCTCTGGATAGTCATCATGAGGGAAGCCCGAATGTTCTCCACCAGAGATCTTTATTTATTTTATTTATTTATTTTATTTATATCCTGCCTATCTAGTCCATTAAGACCACTCTAGGCGGCTTACAACAAGAATATTACAATGTAATTAAAAACAATTTTAGATAAGGGGAAAAACTTTAGACAAGATGGGACAGACACTAGGAAAAGGAAAGAGAGGGGAAATCAGGAATTGACCAAGGGGAAGGCCTGCCGAAACATCAGTGTTTTTAGTTGATTTTTAAAAATACCCAGCGAGGGAGCCGTGCGAATATCAGGGGGTAGGTTATTCTGGAGGCGAAGAGCCACCGCCGAGAAGGCCCAAGTTCTTGTCTTTTCTTTCCAGGCCTCCCTTGGCGTTAGGCTCCTCAGCCTCACCTCCTGGCTCGCACGAGTGACACGGGTAGATCTTGGTGGAAGTAGGCGTTCTGCCAAGTATCGAGGCCCTAAGCCGTTTAGGGCTTTATATGTAAGCATCAACACTTTGAAGTCGATGCAGAATCGGATGGGCAGCCAATCCAATGTGGCCAGAGT